TATATATATATATATATATATATATATATATATATATATATATATATATATATATATATATATATTCATGCTTAATGTCAAATCTAAATTTTCATGTCTGTTTCATATTTCGAGAATATGCGTATTTTATTCAGAAAGTCTATTGCACAATGAAATCCGAGGAAGACAGGTTTATTGCTTTGGTGTACATGATTACTCCTGTTTCCGAAGAAAGAAAGTGTTATCTGAAATTGTTGTATCTTACCTTCACGCGCGCATAACAATTCACCACATACTAACGACAACAACAGTGGTTGGTGTCATTTTATATATGTTGTGAGTGTTGGCAAGATCCAATGTCGCATGTAAAAGATATACTTTATCATTACACACATACATGCCAGTGATTTATATCAAAATGTTACATATTTCTATTTAAAACGAATCCTTATGAAAAATACCGCCACCGCTATGTTATACGACGTAAACTTAAATGTACATTTAAACTTATACATATTACATATCTAGATGAAATATATGAAAAAATATACAAGATGTTTGACAGCATTCATATCGGAACTAATATATCACTGGAATAGGTCAAGGTAAGTAATAGAATCGGTATCTTTCTCGAAATAATTATGTAAAACGTAGACTTAATAACAAAGTAAAATTTGTACCGAGTGCAGTACGGATGCTGTCAAACACTTTGTATATGACTGATATAACTGACACTGTCCACCACACAACGACTGTAGTGGACAATTTTGAATATTTGTTCTTTAATTATAAGCTGCTACTGATTTTAGTTGTGCGGGGCCTACGCGTGATTGTGGAAGGCTTTTTCATTGAAATGTAAACTGCATGTACCGGAGAAGTCGCGAAATCAGACAACGTCTGCATGATAACATACGCATTAGAACGAATGTTACAATTATATAGACGATAATGCAATTAAAATTCGCAAAGCTTAAAATGATTAATTCACAGCATTTTTCCAGTTTCACTTTTCTTGTGATATAGAAGAAGATAAAGTAATCCATCGATTCCAATATCTGCCTTGGCTTTATAAAAAATAGGTTTTAACTCTAAATAAATGTCGCTATTTAATGCAGTTTGTAGATTTTGGATTACAAACAGATACACTTTATTTTATACTTTAAATGTTCTTAATATAATATACCAGGTGTAGAAGTATGAAACCGGAATTCCCCTATAAATGGTGCCAGCGTTCAGTTTAGTGACTGTAAGACCGCTACTGCCGCGCTATTATATTCTCCTAACAGCTGACGAATATTGTCAACAAACATAACCCCAACTTTCATTCTCTAGTATATTTTTGTATAACCTTAAACATGTCACGTTTCGAGCCTACTAACTATGATTTGCGGACAGCATTGATTTTCTGTTATCATTTAAAGAAAACTGCTGCAGAATCACATCGAATGCTTGTCGAAGCTTACGGTGAATATGCTCTTGGTAAATCTCAGTGTTTCGAGTGGTTTAAAAAATTCAAAAGTGGTGATTTTGACGTGAGGAACGAAGAACTATGAACTATGAACTATGAACTATGAACTGCTGAAACCTGGTCAAACCGTCAATACTAATCGCTACCAACAACAAATGATCGATTTAAATCGAACATTGACTAAAAAACGACCAGAATATGCAAAAAGGCAACACAATGTCATTTTGCTCCATGATAATGCCCCATCACATACAGCAAAACGGGTCAAGGAAACGATCGAGTCGTTCAGTTGGGAATTACTACCGCATGCGGCTTATTCTCCAGACTTGGCTCCGTCCGATTATCACCTGTTCGCATCGCTAGGACACGCTCTCGCTAACCAACGCTTCGATTCGTATGAAAATGTGGAAAAATGGCTAGATAACTGGTTCGCTTCAAAAGATGAAAAGTTTTTTTGGCACGGCATTCATATACTGCCAGAGAGGTGGGAAAAATGTGTTCAAAACAGTGGAAATTATTTTGAATAAAGTATTATTTATCACTTTCGAACAACAGACGTCTTATTTGTATAAAAAAATTCCGGTTTCATACTTCTACACCTGGTATATAATATATAATACAATATAAAAAAAGGCCGCACATAGATTATAATTCGTACAAATAGTGATAAAAGCTATGCATCAGTTAGGTTATTATCACTAGAAATCATCATAGAACGCTTTAAACTTCCTCCGTTGTCTTAATAATAGTTCTCGTTTTGCTTTGATCAGTTTTCTAACTTTGCTGTATAGTTCATTACCAAATGACTCCTTGGTTACATATATATTTATCTAAAACATATTATGTGAGTATTATTCAGTAATAAGGTAACAAGCCAATAAGCCCAATATAATAACGATAATTCGCTTCATACTTTCTCACTTCTTAATAATTAATGCAACTTAATATACACGTGTTTTATTTGAATATATAAGTTAAAAAAAAAAATAAATACCTAATTAAATATAAAAAATGACAAAAACATAATTGTAAAACTTACCTTGTTGAGTATCAGGTCACTATGTATATTCATAAAGATATCACCTAATAGAGTTAAATTATCGTGGGTATAAAAATTATAAGGAAATCTATAAAATTATAATATAATACATTTAATCAATATAGACATAGCTGCATCTAATGATTATAAAGAATATATTGTTGGTGAAGAAGAATACCTGTCTATTATCTCGAAATAATTGTTCAAGAAATAATTCAGCACCTTTTTCTTTCCGATATGTTTCTTAATAATAGAACGATATAATTTTTCAATTGACAACTTTGTTGCATTGTTCTCATTGGGTCTCATAATCGATATCAAATCCAAATAATGTAATAAGATATTTTCATCTTCTATACATGTCAAGTGTTCTAAAATCTCCATATTTCCCTTTTCAAAGCCATGTTGCCAAATCAGATTCGAAAGAGTCTTATTTGCGTCCATCATCCCGGTACAGAACATCCAGGTTGTCCACCGCGCAAATCTATAAAAATCCATCAAAAGATGTAAGCACTTGTAACAAAAACTTAACAGTTTATTTTATTCTTTGATCATGCAATTCATCAATCATGATGCGAGATATAACATATTAAAAATTATTTTAATAATTTTTATATAATTATATTTAATTTTATAATTATATTTAAACAAGCAAATAGCAATTTTAAAGGATATTTACATGTTCTGTTTACTATTGTATATATACGCGAACAATTTTTCGGCAGCGGCCTTTCTGCATTTTTCGTGGCCTAATTCGCAAGCCCACTTTATTGCTAATAATCTTAACGGCATCGTCATTTCATTTTCGCCTTCATCTTCTTCGTATCCCACATTACGAAGAAGTTCATTCAATATATCCAGAAAGTTTGCCTAAAACACGTTACGTAACATGTATTTTGCATGATATTAAACTTTCTTATAACTTAATATCTTGGAATAAAATTTTGTTCGAAAAACCAAGTAACAACTGAGTCTTTCAGGTTCGAGTTATTCCTCGTTCCTATAGAATTCTCTATCCTACGTTGTTGAGTGAACATTTTTACTGGAAATTGAAGAGTAAATCTGAAGCATTTCGCTAACAACGAAACATTAACTCTAATTGATTAACACATTTGCTCATAAGGAACCAGAATCCTATTTAACCTTGAGTGAAACGTTCATCTTTGTGATTTCGAGCGGCAGTATTTTCATTATTATTTCAATTACCTACTATTACTTTTTACTCCAAGATACTTAGAGAAAAGATATCATAGCAGATAAGTATAAAACATCCATATCTAAATTTACAATTTGCTATATTCTTGTTTAACTTCTCGACGTTTTGCGACAACTGATAAAGTATAAAGTATCAACTGCAAAGCTCTGTCCGTTAAATTTGTTTTTCCTCACCTTCGTCGCTTCTGCTACTGAAAACTTTAAGAAAGTCGACATATACGAGAAAATGTTAAACATTGGATGCCATGCTATATAGCTAGTTTCCTTGTTTAGAAACTTTATAACATCGAAGAAGACATGAAGTCCCATTTTCCTAACTGTTGTAAAGTAAAATGCATCGTTGACAATCTGTGCTCGATTGAGAACAGGTATAGGTGATTTACAGGTATAGTTGGCAGACTGTAAATACTCCGCAAGCAGTAGCCAATTCCGACTGTCATAATTAACTCGATAGTAACCTGTCGTAAAATAAATTATCTATGTAAGATATTTTCGAACTTGTATATCAAGAAGTGATTTTGAAAGATATCGTTGCACTTTTTATCCAAATTTACAGTCTGTATATTCTTAATAGAATATATTAAACTGTTTATGAGATACTTGCTGCAGTGAAAAATTATCTATTGTTTACCTTTTGCCGGAATACCATTTTATCGAAAAATAAGTGGTACCAAATGTAAAAATGATGGTACTCATGAAGTAATAATACGATGACACAGTCGATCACAGCATTTTCGATGTGTACGATTATGTCATCTTGTGTCGTCGTTGGGAAATACTTGATCGCAAACTGTATTACACAGTGTTGCCTGTGTACATTGTTGAAAAGCAATCCGTTGCTTCTTCAATGTCGACCAACGCCAGTTCGATATACTAACGCATTGTTATTATCTTAATTGGACATCCACAACATGCGGAAATAAAGAGAAACATGAAGGTCGTTGTGTAAGAGTTATGAGGCGAGAAATAAGGAAAAACAGTTTCCGCGGACAACTTGTATTAAGCACTCACGCTTTTTTGCATACTTTATTCTTTCTTGTGTTGACTCTTGTATGGTATAAGTTACAAAAAAGTACACCTTACTTTATAATCTATAAAGCTATAAATATTCTTCTCATTATATATATAGAATATATAATATATTATAAAAAAGCCTATTCATAGATTATAATTTGTGGAAATAGAAATTATGCGTTAGCTAGGTTATTATCATCATAAAACATTAATCATAAAACGTTTCAAACTTCTTTTGCTGTCTTAATATTTGATCTCGTCGTATTTCGATCAGATGTATGCTATTGGTCCATAGCTTATAAAGATAAAACTTCTGGATTACGTGTACGTTTATCTAAAACACATTACGTGGATATTAATCAGTAATAAGGTAAATAACTACTAAGACCAATATAATAACGATAATTCGCGGCATAATTTCTCACTTTTTAACAATTAATGCAGTTTAATATATACGTGTTATATTTAAATAAAAAAATAAGTTAATAAATAAGTAAATAAATAATAAGTTAAATAGAGTAAGATAATAAATAAATTAAATAACAAAGGCATAATTGTAAAATTTACCATGCTGAGTTGCAGCTGGTTATGCACATTCATAACAATATCACCTATCAGTGTTAGATTATCGTAGGTATCAAATTCGTTGGGAAATCTATAAAATTATGATACATTACATTCAATCAAAATAAATATTGTTGCATGTAATGATTATAAAGAGTATATATTTTGCGAAGAAAAATACCTGTCTATTATCTCGAAATAATTGTTCAAGAAATAATTCAGCACCTTTTTCTTTCCGATATGTTTTTTAATAATAGAACGATGTATTTTTTCCATTGATATCTTTGCATAATTTGATACGTTGGCATTGATCTCATGGACTCTCATATTCGACATCAATTGCAAATAATGTAATAAGATATTTTCATCTTCTATACAAGTCACGTGTTCTAAAATCTCCATTAAAATAAAATATAAATCTGTATATTTGAAATAAAATAAAAGGAACTTATATATATATATATATATATATATATATATATATATATATATATATATATATATATATAT